GCTTCAGTAGTACGTCTCCAGTGACCTCTGTTCTCTGAGGTCTTTTGAACCTGGTTCCACGACAGCCCACAAGCTCTCATTTCCTCCTCACACCATCTCCTCCATGTCACCCTCGACAACGACGCCCAACTCGTCACTTCCCATGGGGATTCCACTCGAGTAACTGGCCTGACGCGTGATGTCCCCAGTCGGCCTTCTCAGTGCATACCCAATCCATCTCCACTTCCTCCTTCTGCATATTTGTTGGGTGATAGATTCTTGATTGGTTCGTTCCCAGAGCTCCATGCTGCTTATTCTCATTACTCTGGCAATCCATCTGATCTTCAGTAGCGAGCTAGCGTAGGCGGCAGTTGTTGATGAATGTGTGTAGTTTATTGGAAATTCCTTTCATGACGCGCCAAGTCTCTGAACCATCACACAGAAGCACTGACTTCACGTTGGTGTTGAAAATCCGGATCCTGTTCCACATGCTGAGTGCAGTGCAGAAAATCTCCACACTGATTTCAGGCTAATGAACGCCTGTCTTCCTGTCTTTCCGATCCTGGCTGACTTTGACATCCTCGTCTGTGCCTGTGCTGCCTGTAGTTGAAACAGTGCTTCCTAGATAGGTGAAGGAGGTTACTTCCCTTAAGTTTCTCCCCTTGGTGGTGACTGGAGTTTGTTGTTGTTGTTGGAGTTGTTTGTGCGGTATCTTCATCACCTCTGTCTTCTCTATATTCACTTGAAGTCCCGTCTTCACTGCCCTGCCTTTACCTCTTCTGACAACTTGTTAGTTTTCGCCAGTAGATCTTCAAGTTTATGTGACATCAGACACAAGTCATCGCTGGCGAAATCCAAGTCTTCTAGGTTCTTTTCCGCAGTCCAGCGTATCCCCATATTCTCACAGCTCCCCACTGTTTGCTGCATGATCCAGTCACTTGAACACAATCAGGAATATCATGGGGATAGTAGGCAGCCTTGTTTCACTCCCTCCTGTCTTCACTTCAAAAGCATCACTGACCTTCCCATTGTGAATTACTTGGCATGTGTCATCTTCATATAGTTGTTGAATGAAGCGGATAAAGGTTTGCGGTACTCCGTAGTAGTGAAGCAGTTTCCAAATTACCTCTCGGTCGACGCTGTCAAAGGCCTTCTCAAAGTCGATGAAGTTGAGGTAGAGAGCTGATTGCCATTCTGTGCTCTGTTCTATGATGATGCACAGCGTAGCGTTACAATTTGGTCCGCACATGATTTGTACTTCCTGAATCCAGCCAGCCTGCCTGTTCTGGTCGTAGTTTTGAATCCAGTGCATCCTTAAGCCTCTGCAGGATGATGCGGCTTAATATTTTGCTTGCTCTGGGTGGACAGGAGAGCGATTCCGCACCAGTTCTTGCAAACACTTAGGTCTCCCTTCTTCGGGAGTTCGACAAATTAACCCTTCTTCCAATCAATGGCTAGGTACCTTCTCTCCCTTCCACACCTTCTGCAACAGTGGTGTGGTGTGAGCATGTCCACTGTTGTCCCTGCGTCTGTTCTCACTGCTTCTGGCGGGATCCCATCTGGTCCTGCTGCTTTCCCGCATTTCAGTAGCTTTATGGCGTTCAGGACTTGTAGTTCACTTGTAGTTCTGTGGCTGGGCTGTAGGTGGTATTTCTGGACGAAGTGCAGGTAGTGGTGGTAGTGGTGGTCGATTGAAGAGCTTCTTGAAGTGGTCGGCCCATCGTTTCCTTTGCTTCTCTTCTTTGGTAATTAGATTTCCCTCATCATCTTCTATTGGTTTCATTTGTGTTGATGTCTTTCCTCACAGATAGTAACCTGGTTATTTGATACAATATTGTCAGGTCTCTCCTACCAACCAGCAGCCTGTTCTGCTTCACTTACCAGTGTTTTGTAGAAGTGTCTTTTGTCTTTCCGTCCACTCTTCTTCACTTCTTTGTCCAGTGAGTGTTTTATACCTTGTACTCAGTTCCTCTTGTGGTTGTGCATCCTTGCACTGGTTAATCGTCTGCTTCACCATCCTCCTCTCCCTCCTCTATCAGCTTCCATGTATCTGTCGAGATGCATTCCTTATCTTCTTTCTTCTTTCTTCTTCCTTCCTAATACGGCTGTGCAGGCTTTTTTTCACATAGCTTTTAAAGACTTCCAGTGTTCTTCCACATAGGTTTCTTCAGGGATGTTCCCCGATATCTCCCATTTTGTCTTGATGGCTGCCATGAAGATTTCCTTTGTAGTTTCATCCTTCAGTTTCCGAGTGTTGTACTTGAACTGTGGTCTATCACCAGCTTCCTTGAAGGCGTTCAACTTGATTTGGAAGGTTTGTTGCACTAGATAGTGAGTGGTGTGAACCTACATCTGCTCCTCCTCCTCTTCTTGACCTTGTGTCCAGTCGGCTGCGTCTCCACTTTCCTGAGATTGAGGTGAAGTCGCGGTGATTTTAGTGTCTGGTGTCTGGTGAAATCCATGTCACTCACTTTGTGGATATCCTTGTGCTTGAACGCACTGCTTGACTCCAATCACCAAATCGTTGAATGCGCAGAATTCTGCAAACAATTCTCCATTCTCACTCATCACCTCACCTATCGCTACTCGACCCATGGTTTGTTCTCTTCCTGTGTTGTCCCCTCCCAGTTTGGCATTCATGTCAACCCACCCATTAGAATTTTGATGTCGCCAACTGGAGTCGTGTCCAGTGTTGATTGAAGTTGTCTGTAGAACTCCTCCTTCTATTTGTCCGCATCTGCATTATTCGTAGGTGTGTAGCGTAGCATTGTATGATTGTGACCTTACTTCCTTCCATTTGAGTTGAATCTTGCTGTCATGATCCTGATTCTGGAGGAGATTGGTTCCCACTGTATGACAGTGAGCCTTCGATGCTCTCCAGGACATCATGATAGCCACTCCAATACACAATGTGCTCGTGGTTGTCGTTTGGGTGACAATATAGGAGTAGATAATTGATTCTCCAGTTGATAGTTTGGAGAGTCCACTCCCATTCCATCTGCTTTCACAAATTCCAAGCACTTCAATATGATATCTTCTCATCTCGTTTGCAATGTGGGCTGCCTTACTGGGTCCAAACATGGTGCGGACATTCCATGTCCCCTCGTTTACCTTCGCTTTCATCGAGAGAAGCGAAGACACATCGGCCAATTGGCTTCCCGAAGGCAGGGTCTCACTGACTGTCGTCATTTCGCCTCTCCGATTCCAGTGAGGAATAACTTTTTTTTATTTTTTATATTTTGTTTGTGCTTTGAAGTTTGTTTAGCGCTTGGATTTGTTTACTGGGTGGGTTGCTAGGCGTGTGCCCAATCTTCCCTCTTTATGTTGGCTTAGGACCGGCTAGTAACTAGTGAACTATTTAACTAAGGTCAATTAGGCCATCGGACCACAAAAACCTACCTAGGTCAAAATTGGTAAATCCTAGTAAGGTAAGGAATTCAGAAAAGAGCTCAGCCATAGCTATGCATGCGATTACACACAACCACACAACAGGATGGGACAGGGTGAAAATTTTTGAAACTAACATAACAGGGTGGAGGGGGAGATTGATAATTGAATCTTTGTTTATCGAATAAACACCTAACACATGCAACAGGAATGACTAGGCACCTGTTCCGGATATATGGAAAATCTTACTACAAATCTCATAAAGAGACGAGGAAATTAGGACTATAAAAAGGATATCTCAAAGTTGTGTAGTTATCTTGATATGACTGTGGACAATAAATTATGTCCGAAACGTAATCCAGTAAATAATACTGCTACACTGTGTGATAAAAATCTAATAAATCAATAAAACGGACCTTACTTCCTTGTGCAGCTTTGGCGCATTGTCGACCTATTTGATTTACTCAACTAAACAGATGATAGAGAAACGTTTCACAGTTAGTTCCTATAAGAAGTCATTCCTATTTGTGGTTTATTGATGGCTAAAAAAATTTCAGCTGCTTTGGATATAGCATTATACACATAGATTAATGTAATTGGACGGTTTTAACCTACAGAAATCGTCACCTCGGTAAGTCATTTTTCTTTTGGCAGTCTAACTAATTTTAAATTAAACTATCTGATTAGTACATAACTCTGCTATGTAAAGGATGGTACAATATAGAAACAGCCTTTGATATTGGTAAAGATGTTCTAGTCTTCTAAAGGTTTTCAAAGTCAGAGCTTTACTAACAGTAAGTGGTAGGTGAAAATTAGTTTATAAGCAACTGTTATATATTGCTTCTTTAAACAAATATAAAGTAACTTGTTCTGAAACAAAGGTGTTCCTCTAGATAGCTTAGTAAGAGTGAATTTTCAACGTTATGTATGCTTGCAGTCTTTCAGTTCATTACATAGGAAATAAATTTACGATAAAAAACAGAATGCTGTCAACCATTCTTCCTGAGCAGTTTATTCAATCTTTTTTGGGAATCACTGCCTATCTCTTTAGATGTACATTATACTGTGAAGCAATGCATATGCATTCACGAACATCCAGCTATAACTCTTTGAATTCTACTCCGCAAGCTACTTCATTCTGCAGGAAAAATGGATAATAGTAGACGAAAGAAACGTATTGTCAGGTCAGTTATTTGCAAACATTCTTTGTTGTTTATCATAGCCAATGATAACTAGAGTGTTCTGAAAGGATTTGCACCAAGTTGTCATCAATGACTTTTGCCAACTTGCTGGTCTGAATCCTGTGATGCTCGGATTTTCATCAAACCTTTAATCACTAACCAGTGTTAATATATATAAGCAATATGTGAATTAATTGGTTATGAATACTTCTCAGGATTTTTGTCTTCTTAGAAAGTAGAATTGTTTACACTATCCTACCTTCATCTTTGACAACAGTATCCATCATTCCTACTAGGTTTGAAAATCATTGTACACCACATCATTTTGAATTGCAGACTGACTATAGGTAGATTTATATTTTAAGTTATTCGCTCTTATTGTCAAGAGAGATATAACGATATACTGATCTATGGTCTATTAATTCAATTGCTGTTTGTGATCAGGAAGAAAGATAAAGGAAAAACCACAGTTTTTATTGCATTTTTTCATAATTTATGTTGATAATTTAGTGAGTTTACAAAATCAACAATACAAAAATTCAGTCAAATGACTATGTTGGCTCTAAGTGAGTTTTCTTCATATCTGAAAGTAAAAGTAGACTAGTTTTAGGAATAAAATTTCAAAAAAACACTACGATTTGTAATTCAGAAAAAATACATAGATTTAATTCCCAACATGTTTGGAAGTTTGATTTTCACATTACCAGTAGATAATAACTTATAACTCAACTTGTACAATGTTGGTATTACCTGGTGATTGAAGGTGAAATGTAAATTTCGATTCAGGGGACAATACGACCTACCGATCACAGAGTTATCGGTCTAGTGATCTATCAACTGAGTTATGAGACCTAATTGCTGATGAGATTTTTATTTCATTTCAACCAATAATACTATTGAAAATAAATTATAACATAGCTTGATTTTCTTTTCCTTTTTTGTTGCAGTGAATAAATTTATGAGTGCGTAAGTTTCAAATTATTGTAGCACATCTTTATGAATGAAACCTAGTCACTTATAATTGTTAATGGTTTTCCACCATAAAGGAATACCACAATCTGTTTTTTGAATTGTTCTATAAGGAAATTATATAATTTATTACGTTTTAGCAAAAGACTAGTTGTTCAAACTTCCAGGAATACTGTGACTTGAGTATTATCCGCAGTGAATTAAAGTAATACTCATTTGTCTTCAGGCCTACACCACTTAAACTCACTTTTAGAACTATCAGTTTGCCAGTGATTTACAAACTGCATGTTCTTTGGTGACATTTAACACATCTAGGTATTTTTTCAAATGCCCAACTATGGTATTAACCGGGATTCAATTGGAAACCAACCAACCAAGATCACAAGGTGTGATCTCTGACACATAACTGTCATAAAGTAGAGAAATATGCTATTAAACAAGTTTAGTAGTTACAAATCCCTCTTGATGATCTGTAAATTTCACCAGCCAGATGATACATATATTTATTCAGCGGATGATCATTTTTTTCGTTTGAGGCCGAGCTCCTCAACGGTGCAACCAGACAAATCCAGCTCATACAGACGAATTAGTTCATATCATCTGGCATGTTAAAAAATACTCAACTTTTCAGAAATTTCAACGTAGACCATGGAATTTTTAAATCGTATCTAAATGCTCGACTGTATTTCAGATTCATTTGATCTGAGAAATTCTTCAATGTAAGCTGAATGTGTGCAAGTACACCACTAATATACTCGGCCACAAACGAGCGAAAAGGCAATCCAGTGTTTAGATCACTCTTGTCTGGCTAGTAAAGTGTAGAGACCAGCTTGAGTGGTTTCCAATCACTCAAATAAGTTAGTGGCATAATTCTTTTTCGAATTGAATCATGTTCTTCTCAACGAAAATGATGTACGATACTTATAAAGACGCAGTTGTACAGAAAGCTGACTGAATATAACCTGACTGATAAAATTTAGTAAGTGATGAGTACTAAGGACTGGACAACTGAATTGGTTACTCCCTAGTGACCTATATGTACACACTGTTCAGTTTTTCAGTGGGTTAACCATGGCCTGAATAGCTTTATGTCAATATCTCTGACTTCTGAACTAGTTGATACAGATTCAAATCACCGAGAGAATATAAGACTATTCAGCTGCTGATAGACCCTACTGATGAGTGCCTATGGGTAGAAAACCTATATTCATGACCTTATTTCGATTAGCGCAACATATCACAGAAAAGCAAAGGAAACTTAGTTATGAAGTGAATTAGAATTTAATAATTTGTGATAAGGAGTGATTATCTATCATATGTCACAGATACCGAATTACATAATTACTATCTATAACATTCGAGAAGACCACTTGAAAATAATTAGACGCCAAAAAGTTTATTTCAGTGCCAAAATTATCTGAAGTATAGGCTCAAAATCCCTGTGAAACGTTTCTTTAGAAGTACTGAGTTAATTCTCGCAGTGAATGCAGAAGTGATTCAAGGAAAACATGACACTTCTGATCGTTTCACTACAATACTTGCATTGCAGAATGGTCCTGAAGGAAACGCTTCCAAATTTACAAACGTGTAAAAATGAGTCACATTTAACATTTTACAAAATTGATTGGTTTAGTCACCTTCACAAACTATATTGTCCCATGACAATTTTTTAAAAGTTTCATTGAAAATCTACGATAGGTGTAGCATGTGAAAGCACGAATAAATGGAGGACACAATTTCTTTGAATTCTTACATAACGCCATAACGATTGAGTCGTAACGTTTCATATTATATATATATATATATATGTACATATATATATGCATATTTATATCCATATATATATATATATATATATATATATATATACATATATATATCAATTGATTTACTGTATGTGTCAGGTATCATCGATGAAAGTCGCACTAGAAAGACTATTAGTGATGAAATGACTTACATTTCACGTAATCATCCCATTTGTGAGCAAATTTTCAGTGACTAGAAATAAAATGAGAATCATATAGCTTTATATACTATTCACCAATTCAATATAACTTACTAAATCACATAGAATATTCAAATTTAACAAAAGCTCCTAGGTGGTCAACACTTCAATGAAAGAAATGGTTACCGGTAACATATATCTGTCAGTTGAAGACGGTGAGACTCAGTTTTTTGAGGGAAACGGTACAAATATCTTAGTTGGTCTGTGTAGCTATTTAGCTTCCTTAGAAATGTTAAAATATAGTATAGAACTTATGTATATTCCTTTTATATGCGTACTACACAAACAAGGTATTGGAGGCTTAGCTTAAGTTCCACTAAACAAAGCTGTCATATATACTGCACAAGGACAATTTTGAAGAGTTGGAGAGAAGAAAGAAGTCAGTTGTTTTTTAAGAAATCTAGCTTCGCCTTTTAGACATAATGTTGGCCTAGTTTTGTCGTTACACCTTGTAAATCTTCTTTGATTGGACCAAACTAATTGATTTCTACTGACTGACTTATAGGTGGCGGACCCCTCGATACCGTGGTGTTTTAAGTTCTTGATATTATTGGTAGATAGTGGCTAACATTGTAACCCAGTACTCACGTTTATTCTTTTTTTGGACTCGTCAACTGGATGTACCTACCTCCCAGAAAGTGGTGTTGTTACCATCGAGACATGAATCCAGAACAGGCCGCTTTAAAAGTCAGGGCGCTATCCACTAGGTAGAAATTTACGACGGAGGTTTTCAAGCTTTAGTATCGGAACTATACTGTACGCATATCACCAGAAGTGCCTATCATGACTTAGTGCCCTAGTGGACGGCACTCTGGCATTTGAAGCTATTGGTCCTGAGTTCGAGTTCTGGTGGGAATAACATCATTCAGTGGCAGGCTGCAGGTGCATCTAACTGACGAGTCCCAAATAGGACGAAACACGCATTCACTGCTACCCATTATCTATCACTTATACTGATGCTGATTTACCGGTCCTGCCTCGCCTTCTTCTAGTATACGTAACCTAATTCCACACAAAAGTTAATGCGGTGTAATATGATGGTGATGCAAGAGCTGTAAGTTACTGAATATCATTTGACTATCTGAGATAGCCGTAGTTTGACAGACCAATATTTCTACTGAGTGACGATTGAAAGTGAAATGAAAACTTGCTCCGTGACCGAATTCAAACCAGCCACCACCAGCAGTCGGACCACGTAGTTCAGTTGGTAGAGCATTGGACTGGAAACCTGATGGTCGTAGGTTTGAATCTTGCTGCGGTGCAAATTTTCATTTCACCAGGAATTATCACCTAGTACAAAAAAGTTACTGAATAGTAAATAACACTAATAATCATGAAGTTATCTGCAATAAGGTAGAGTGTGACAATAAGCGTGAATTTTGACATGACTAAACTGACTACATACATATGCATGCATACATATTCCTTATGTTCCTTATGTCATCATAAAAAAAAACGCAATTTAAAATCCTAAATGTACAATAATGGTCATTTGAGACTCGTACCCGTTTAGGGTTCTTATCCGAAACCGTTCAATATTCCTATCTTCCTTTGAAATATCAAAAAATCCTCACCAGTTTAACTTTTTACACTATTCTAGAAGAAATACAATCTTTTTGATTTCTGAAACACTGAATTTACTTGTTGAAATTGATTATCACTAATCGATAGGCACTGACCGATGTGACTCAGATGAATTGATAAAATTTCTCTGGAATTTCTGTGATGATTCATTCATCAAGTAAGTAAATGTATAAATTTGGTAATAATATTGGACAATTTAGTCACTGTGAAAAAATCAGCGTTTCAGTGTTGTTCACTTACAATTCTATAGTGTTTGAATATCAAGTTGTATTTACACACTGGAGCGAATAAATATGATTGAAAATAATTACCTCACAAACTTCTTCAGGAGTCATTGTAGACAATGTCTGAAGGTAACTGTCAATAAAGAAGGTGCCAAATAGTGAACACTGAAAGCAAACAACAGGAAAAGTTATTTTATGGATTATTAAAAGTTATTAGATATCATTTACTAGTGTGAAATAACAGTTTCAAGCTGAGGTCAAATCTTTATGATTCACCTGCAAAAGCCTTTGGGGTCAGCCACGTGGGAAACTGGTAATTACACTTATTATCATTCGACTTTCTAAGATAGCCGTAGTTTGAAATAGTAGTATCTATATAACGTGATGACTGAAGATGAGATGAAAGCTTTGACCACGACTAGATTCGAACCTACGACCACCAGGTTTCCGGATTGATGCTTTACCAACTGAGCTACGCAGTTCGACTGCTGGTGGTCACTGGTTTGAATCCAATAGCGGTCAAAGTTTTCATCTGACCTTCACTCATCACCCAGTATAAAGAATATTCTTCCAAACTGCGGATATCTCAGATGGTTACATGACAGTCAATATGATGTTCTTTCTCTCTAACTCAGTTTGGATTAGGATGAGAAGTCCTGACTAGGCGGCCAGTGGGATTACTATCAAATGGTAGTAACGCATCAGGAATTTACACGGTAGTCGGGCAAGACCCTTGATGATTGAAGTGAAATAAAAATCTGGTCGTCAGTTGGATTTCGTAGCTCAGTTAGCAGACCATAGGGCCGTAAACTCCTTGGTCGCTGGTTTGAATCCGGCTGTGGTCCGAATTTTCATCTCACCTTCAATCAACACCCAGTATGATTACACTTATTTAATTCAGATATAAATGAGTCAGTCTATGCATCATTCATACACCATAGATTTTGATGTTCAGCGTAGGTTAACCAAGATGGAGTGTACCCTCCTACTGAATAATCTTCTTCATCATTGCATAAAGTCATCCAAAGACACACTTCTCGAAAATATGTGTTCAAAAGTGATTTATAGTCTAACTTAAATATCTTCTGAGTTGACTTTCAGATTAAAGCAGTAATAACTGGATCCGGTTCCCTGTATATTGCAACAAAATTATTACGTCTCTCTTTAGATGGCTTTTGTAATCGAAGGGTAAACTTTCACATTGGGATGTTCAAAAATGGTACGCCATATAGGTAAGAGAATTCAGTGAATCTGTATGATAAATAAACACACAGACTTTTCTGATCAATAAACACAGTTATTCTAGAACAATTTTGTTTGTAAAGCTTTTATTTTATGCCAACATTGATGTGATATTCTGATTGAACAGAAATGATCGATGTCTATTAGCATATGCTTTCCACCATTCATATAAAATTGGGAAATAGGCAATATCCAGACATTCGTGCAGGACCCTATATGCCAATAGAAACCGATCGATTCGGGCTAATCAACGACAACATTAAAGCGAAACCCATCTCAAAAGAAGTGGCTATCACTGCTTGGTGGTCTAGTAAATGACTACGGTGTTTGAATCAATCGGTCCCAAGTTCCAGTGCTGGTAGGAACAACATCACTCGCTGGAAGGCATGTACATCCATCTGACGAGTCCTAATTAGGATGAGACGCACGTCCTGTATCTTACTGCTAGCCACTATCTTTCACTAATACAAAGGGTCCATTTTAAAGTAAATATATAAAACACGACTATCATAACAAAGTAGGGTAGGTAACAGAAGCAAAAGACTTGGCAGTTTTCTATGGGGATTTTTTTTTATTTAGCTTGTTGGTTGCAAACCGACAAAAGTAAACAACCTTATTTTTTAGCCTTAAATCTTCAGACGTTTAGTGGTAATATACAAAGTGAGCTTAAATGAGAAATGGTAGTGGGTGAAAGTTGAAAATTAAACTTGAAATGTAAAAAGCAAAAATTATAACTCCATATAAAATAGTCGTTCTCGAACCAGCATCCTATGCATATCGACGTAAGACATTTGCTATCGAGTAATAAAGGTTTTTTGATAGAATATTCTACCTAGCATGATAATTTTTCTAGATAATTTCTTCAGGTAAACAATAGAACACACTGAATAAAACACACACACACAGCTGTTTGAATAGTTGACTGTCCACTTGAGATTTAATGAATAAACAGGGATGAGAACTTTATCAGTGATTTCCTAGGAATTACTAATTTATGCTGCGAAACACTTTTCAGTAGTCTAGCTTGTGTCAAACTGTAGAAGCAGCATGATTTTCAGAATACGATGGCTTTTACTATATTTTGAGACCTGGTCAAAAGCTAATCAGCTACAAGAATTATAAAATGCATCCACCATATGAAAATAATTTACATATTGAAAAACTTAAATGGAGGTATAGTGACTAATGATAAAGGAAAACTAGAGTAATTCTAGAGAATATGTGGTCATCGAAGAATGGTTTTGACCACTGAAGATTCTAATAAATAACTAAAGCTGGAAATCTTCTTGTAGTCACCACAGATTAATCTAGTTGACTCACAAAATGCTCAGAATATTAAGGTTTGAAATATTCTTCACTTTGCTGGGCACTTGGCAAAGTAAATTCACGAGAGGTAGACATGTTTACGGCTTAGTTCCAGTCTTCTGCACATTTCTCATCATTTGGTTATGTTCATGCATAATTGATAAAAAAAATAGAAAAAAACAAGAAGACAAAAGTTCCTGATACGCATTACTGATCCCAGCTGTTGGTATTCTCATCTCTTTAGCTTTATCGATAAGACCATAAGAGTAATAACTTTCCTTCAGATAATTAAGATGTAGAGTCTTTTCAACACCGTTAGTAAGTTCCACATGTACTTAGTGCATTCCAAGCAAAAGATGATGCTTCAGGAGTAGACTTTATTGACTTCAGGTTTTAGAATAGAGGACGAAGGATGGAATGACGTTGAATGAACCTCATTGTGCAGAAATTAGTGTAGAAAACCCACTCAAGACTTTCCAACTTACACGACAGCCTTCATTTTGGAGAACTTTAGCGGCAAATCGTAGTAGGAGTACTAGGCGCAACAGTCTGCTCTGTCCTTTCAAATATCTGTAAGAAATATCTGTTGAAACTGGAAATGTAAGGAGGAAACAAGTTTTGTTTATAGATGTCTCCGTAGTACTACTGATATACAGTAAGGACACATGCTGAGTACGGTTAAGATAATATGCAGAATTCTAGGCAGGATGTATAAGTCAGTGAATGAGGTTCCATACCTACATCAGCAAGAGTAGCTAGGACATATGTTACACAACTTCAGTCATTTTTTAAGTTGATATTCAATTTCGGCTGGAGTAGGACCTAAGATAGTTGTCAACCTAAGAAGTTTATGAATTCTTTACAAGCAGTCTTACACGTGTAGAAAGCTGTAGCGTGTCTTCTCAGTGCTTTTTAATTGACCGAACTCAATGAATTTTTACGATATGGCCGAAACATTTAAACAATAGCTCTGATGTATTCGCTTTTCATTATCTTTGAATCTTTGAATACTTAGCCAACCTTTGTTTACCAATTCTCCTTACTTTTATGAACTTTCTTCTGCTGTAATTTTTTGCATTTTGCAAATGTAATAACGTGAAGTAATAGGTATTTATGTATCTAATTTGATTCAACTGTTTATCTTTTCGATTCTGCTAGCAATAATAAAAACAAGACTTTATTCACTCCCAATAGTTCAAAACTTGGTGGTAATATTTTGGCGTTTTACATGATGCAGGTGCATTTTTAATAACATATTATTTGAAATGGTTTAGGCATTTATCAACGCAAACGTTACCAGCACTTGCTGAAAGTCATTAGAAATGTTGACTTTCCTTGCAAGATTTGTTTATTTGATATACAGCACATAACGAAAATAGGAGTTCAAGTGAATGCAGAGAAGACAGAGGTGATGAAGATACTCAACAAATAACAGCATCAACAACAAGCACCAATCACCATCAACAGGAGGAACCCAAATGAAATTATCTCTTTCACCCACACCTACTTAGGCAGCATCAATTCAACTGCAGGCGGCGCAGACAAGGATATCAAAACCACTGCTCTAATGTGGTTCAAAAACTTGACGTGTCAAGAAAAGCATCTCCAACAAACTACAGACATACATCACGTCAACAGCTGCCTACTCTAGCCCCATACTCAAAATCAGATGGATGGCCAGAATAGTGAGAATAAGTAAGAAGGAAGTGTGGCTGGCTGACATCGAACCAACCAAGAACCCATCATCCAACAAAGTGGAGATGGATTGGATTGGGCATACACTGAGAAGGCGGATTAGGGACACCACACCTCAGTTCATGCCAGGCCGTCGAGTGAAATCCGAAGGGGAAACGACGAGTTGGGTGTCCCATCTGAGGGTGGAGTAGAGGAGATGATGTGATGAAGAAAAGAAAGTTTGTGGGCAGTGGTGGCGCCAAGTTGAAAAGACTGTAGAGAAGGGGGTGGAATTGAGGTGTGCTACAGAAGCCCTATGTTTCACTAGGAACCCAAGGAAAAATAGATAAATAATAATAATACACAAATGGTACAGTATTATTTACTTGATGACGTTTCGAGCATAAATCATCACTGCGCATAACCATATCAATGTAATCACACTACTTCCAACAATCCATTTTTATAGTCCTGTCACCTAATCATTCTTTTTTTTTTATTGATAGTAAAATATTACATATCTCTGGTATACGTGTAGCCTCATTCCCATTACATATGTTGGACTAGGTGTTGAATTTGATCTATTGTATGCTTTAGTCGACAGGGTTTATCTATGAATTAGTTTATAGGTCCAAATATTAACAAACAGAAGGAGTGACAATGTGATCAACAATATCCTCAATCTTAGCAGATATATTCACGGATAGTTGGAGGACGGCTTTATAAACGTATAACCCTGCACCTAAGGTGTGATAGCGATATTTAGATGACACATTTACTGTGTTGAAATTGGAGCATATCGACAGTTTCCTTACACATAAGAACTTGGAAGTAGACATAATCCAATTCACTTGAGGTAGAAAATGAACAAGGAAAATTACTCATAAAAAGAGGAACTGACGCTGGTTTGGATCCTGTTGTTTACAGGAAACCGACTCATTCTAACAGGTATCTGGACAACGGATCATCTCTTTGAATATCATTTAAAGCAGGTCTAGTCAAATGTCTACATGATGAAGCTAAAAAACTCAGTAGTCGTTGTGAGGACATAAACAAGGTACTGAAGCACATAAAAGAAGCGTTAATAGCTAATAATTATTCTCTACCGTTTATTACGAAATTCGTACGAACACATGAGAAACAAAATAATAACAATAATACGAACACGAAAAATGGTGACAACACGAGTAAAAATAAGTTTACAGCCTTTGTTGTGTTACCAGATATGAGGAAGGAACATTAGAAACTTTACTTAGGATTCTCAACAACGTCGAAATCAGTGTGATATTTGAACCTACAAACTAAATCATAGATAAACCTTGCTGACTTAAGCATCCAATAGATCTAATTCAGGAAAATAATCCAGTCTACCAAATTCAATGCAATGACTGTCAGATCAAGCACATAAGTCAAACTAACCGAACGAGGTCAGTTCAATCAGCGAAACGTAAGAATTTAGTTATATACAGAATGATAGACTCCAGTAAGATTAATATTCAAGGAAAACACTCAGCTATTGCAATGTCTGCGTTAACACAACCTCACACAATAGAATGGATGAGATAAAATTGCTGTACTGAGGTCCAATATATAATAAGGTGAAGGGAAAGATTGACTAGTGAATCTTTGTTCGTCAAATCAGTACGCAACCCAACAGATGTAACTGGAATGAGGCAACACATATACCGGAGATATGTAATATTTTACTATCAATAAAAACAAAGAATGATTAGGTAACAGGACTATAAAAATGGATTGTTGGAAGTAGTGTGATTACATTGATATGGTTATGAGCAGTGATAATTTATGCTCGAAACGTCATCAAGTAAATAATACTGTATCGCTGTGTCCTGTATATCAAATAAACAAATCTAATATTGAACTATATTACACAACATTTCCCAAGTTTTGTTTTTATATCAATACCAATTTATCATACGTCTCTAACATAGCATTATTTTGTTGTTAAAAGGTCAACAATTGTCCCATTATTCTTTTGTTTCTTTAATGAACCAGAAGGGATGTGTTTAACCCCAGTGAGTTACAACAGATTTTTGCCAAAATATCCCCATTACTTTCGATTGAATAACTACCTTTAACTATAGAAATTGTATGGAGTCTAACTGTGCATATGTGCACTATTTTCATTTAAAATATACACTATATATGACATGGACAACAGTAATGCTGAAATAAAAGGAGAATACAAATCACTTTTTCTATAACTTTGTTGCTTTTTATATTGAAGTAGTCTACATTACAATAATTATAAATCTGTCACAAAATATAGTATGAAACGAATTATACGATAAAGAATCTGATGGTGTTGTGTAGTCCTGAAGAGTAGAATACCGACACATTTACTTGTAGATATGGCACTTTCCCCTGAGAAATTTATCATTATTATTATTATAAGTCCCCTGGGTTCCTAATGGAACATAGGGCTTCAGTAGCACGTCTCCAGTGAACTCTGTTCTCTGAGATCTTTTGAACCTGGTTCCACGACAGCCCACAACCTCTCATTTCCTCCTCGCACGACCTCCTCCATGTCACCTTCAGCACCGACGTCCAACTCGTCGCTTTCCATCTGGGTTCCACTCGAGGGCGTGACGCGTGATGTCCCCAGTCGGCCTTCTCAGTGCATGCCCAATCCATCTCCACTTCCTCCTTCTGCATATTTGTTGAGTGATAGATTCTCGGTTGGTTCGTTCTCAGAGCTCCTTGTTGCTTATTCTCATTATTCTGGCAATCCATCTGATCTTCAGTAGCGAGCCAGCGTAAGCAGTTGTTGATGAATGTGTGTAGTTTATTGGAAATCCCTTTCGTGACGCGCCAAGTCTCTGAACCATCACACAGAAGCACTGACTTGACGTTGGTGTTGAAAATCCGGATCCTGTTCCACATGCTGAATGGAGTGCAGAAGATCTCCACACCCGTTTCAGGCTAATGAACGCCTGTCTTCCTGTCTTTCCGATCCTGGCTGACTTTGACATCCTCGTCTGTGCCTGTGCTGCCTGTAGTTGAAACAGTGCTTCCTAGATAGGTGAAGGAGGTTACTTCCCTTAAGTTTCTCCCCTTGATGGTGATTGGAGTTTGTTGTTGTTGATGGTGGTGGTGCGGTATCTTCATCACCTCTGTCTTTTCTATATTCACTTGAAGTCCCGTCTTCACCACTTTGCCGCTTCTGTCAACTTGTTAGTTTTTGGCTGTAGATCTTCAAGTTTATGTGACATCAGGCACAAGTCATCGGCGAAATCCATGAGAAATTTATCATTGGTGATAATAATAATTATGACCGTGCTCAAATTTTCTAAGAATTATATTTAGTTAGAAGACTGATTTAGAGTTTTTCAATGTCAGATAATTAATAGTATACCACATGTATTTTTTAGAGATACCAAAGTTGTCAAATGTTGGTTTTCAACTTTTTAAAATTCTTTTTACCTGAAAGCTTGTTCAAAAATACCATTTGCTTATTGTCTACTACACAATATTAATAAACTGACGTGGAAGTTCACAACTTCAGTACAAGTGGAAATGTATAGAGAAGATTTCAAAGATACATAAAACTTCAAATTACATTGGTCTTTACAATTCACCTACTCATCACTTTTGTTTTCATATTTACGTTCAACTCGATATAATTTAAAAAAGAATCATTTTATTTTGTTAGATTCTCACCTGAGTTTGTAAAGCTCCAGCTAATGAACAAAGTTTTGTAACAGCTTCGTGAATAAGATCTTTAGCAGTTGAGGATACTGTCAGTGTTTTCACAAATGTTATCACAGTTTCACATCCACTACACACTGAAATATAAAATGATTACAGCAGACAACAAGTAGTTAAGTCATAATGAAGTTAATATATTATAACCAGACAATCAGTAGTAGCTGTAAACAGTGATATGATACGGTTGTCTCAGATAGTAAAACTGACATTTGATATGGTGCTCGATCACTCAGATTCAAGTATATTTGACTTAGAATAAGAAGTCCCGATTAAGGAGCCAGAATGAGGACGATCAAGCGATAGTACCATGTCACGAATTCACAAGGCAGTCGGGAAAAAGTCAAGGTGATTGAATTGAAACAAAAGTATGACCAACAGTCAGGTCTCTTAGGTAAGTTAGTAGAGCACCAGGCAGAAAACCCAGTGATCTTTAGTTTAAATTTTACCGCAGTTCAAGTTTGCATTTGTACCTTCAATCATTACCCAGTATCAATACAAGTCTATAAAATTACAGGTACCTTTGATAGTCTAAGTGATATGGTCTCTGGTAATTTCAATGTTTGATTGTTATGAGTTTAGGACGAAAGCTTGAAATGATTGATAATATACTTTGTGTTGAATGACACGAAATATCAAACAGAGTACTCTGCAGTAAGTTTATGCTTGTCTTACTGGTCAAATTTTAAAGATATGTTAGAAAGCAAGAAGGAAGTAAGGGTCGCCCCGCATACCACGCGTTAAACAATTCAGTATTATCACCGCATTTACATATGATTTAGTTTTTCTCCAGAAAATGAGGTAAATGCTGACTATATAGCCTATCTATGTCTTGGTTTTCGTTGTTATGCATTAATCTTAGTGTGTGGAATCATACTAAATGTATTTTTTGCGGTAATGAAAGATAATACGAGTAATGTAACTTTTGTCTTGGAATACCTTTCACTGTAAGAATAGTAAGGTTGGCTGAAGTCTTCAGTTCCCTTTAAAGTTCACGTGGTCAGCATCACATTATATAATAAGGTAATAAGGGATATCATAATTTCGGGTGATTACTTTCAATGTCAGAATAACACCATGGAAAAACCATATGGTAAGTCATATTTTAACTAAATCTTTCTAGTACTTTCAAAACTTCCTGAGGATTTTAATTTCTGATAAAAAACATTTTGAACAAACCACTTTTTAAGTACTGTGTTTTTAGAATCAAATTTTACTAAAGTATTGTAGCTTCCAAAGTCAATACTTTCAATTACTGTTTGAAGATAATGAACGAAAGATGGTCCAGTACTATTGCTGACGTCAGTAATAGTATTACTAATAATAATAATGGTGTACTGGAGTAGCTAATGTTGTTGAAACGAATGTAATGAAAACTTGTAGATGATGCAACCTTATGAAATGGATTGAGGAAGAGACTACTTTCAGGAACATTTATGCGAATTATCCTATATAAACAGTTGATCCAAAGACTATGGAATGTTTTACGTTTCCCTTTGATATTGCAACGTAGTGTCATGTTTAAATAACCATTCAGATATACATAATTGACGGAAATACAATCATGTTTTACTCGATTTATATCTTGCTATCAACTCACAGTAGCTTGAGTTATCGTCTTTCAGATTTGCAGCATATGGATGACACCAGCTCAACATCTGTTAAATAAAACAAATTATTTAAAGTGATAAAGAAAATTTTAATTTAGAAAATGTTTTTTTATAGAGCTATGAAAAAGTTATTTGCATTAAAAGACTCACTGAGTTAATACGTTTATGTGTTGATGCTTCAATGAAATTCTTCAAAAATAGTTTAGTTTGACTAGCTATATGAGTATTGCACTGAAAAATATAAAAAATTGAAATAAAATGGTCTATTTAAAATAAACTCAATTTTCTCAGGATAAAGTAAATAATTTTAAATAAAAAGATGAAGAACTGAAAAAAGAAATAATCTTCACATCAAACGTTTCTAAACATAATTCTACTTATCCGATAATCAAGCATATAATGTTGATTAATTTTTATCATATAGAGTGGTCAGTGCAATTAAAAGTCAATTATAAAATGAGCAACTCAGGCGTAAGACCTTTGATTTTATAACTGAGTGAGATCCATTTGAGTCAAGGAGAGAACATAAGTCTCTTTGAGATAACAGATATGCTATGCTAAGGAGCATCAAGGAATAAAAGATACTGGTCACGGTCATCATGTTCTTCTACCCCATATATCTAACATCAAAATAGAGAATGTCGCAGTGCCATATCACTGGTCATACTACAAACCTGTTATATACATGTCAGTCAGTGGTGAGAAGTTACAACTTGAAAGCTACTTTCTCTACCATTCAGTGACTGATTTTTATTTCCATCTCTTCTTTATGATTCTTGAGTTTATAGATCAGTTATGCGTCTGAATGTTTCGCATTTATTAACCTTATTTATCTAGATTTTTCCAGATTGATTACATTTTAGTGTAGAAAATGAATAATATTTACTACTTTTAATGTAACTGTAGGCTCTCAGTTCATAGAGAGCATTCAAATGAAATATCAGTGAATTTAGAAATCAGTTAGTATAATTTGAAGAAATTCAGGTATGTTATGGTACTTTTGTTTCATTTATTTAAACAACTAATCGTTCTTGTAGAATTGTAATTCTTCTGAAGATATTTTGTAATATCAGTACATGAATCATCGCTGGATTATGTTAACTGATGCGATGAGATGGTTCTAACAGTTTTGCAGTTGATAACTAAAACGGCGGAGATAAAGTTAGATGAAGTCTTTTTCATTTCTACATTCCTTGATCCTTGATATATAGACCTTTCTTTTAAAGTTATCTGACTGATGTTTCATTTCATGATTTATCACATTAACTAACAAAATGTGATGAATAGGTTTTGATCTAGATTTTAATTAAAGATAATTAGTTTGATTTTAACTCAACTCAGTTGCATCTACAGTGTTCCTGAAGGTTCGGATATGTTTTTCTCACATTTAAATCTAAAGTGTAGAAGCCTATGTAACAAAAAAATGTAACTGACACTTTTCAAACTTATTTAAAGAGAAAAAACTCAGTTATCTGAAACTTACTTTATGTCTTTGAGATTGTTGATCCAAATTGTCACATATCACTGATGATATGTACTCAATTAAATTTCTCTTGAATTGTCCTTGTTTTAAAAGGTATATAACTTCTTCTTGAACGAAATCCAAAGCATCACAGGCTTTAATACATACAAAAGTACAAATTTTTCTTAGAAACTCCAGTGATTTAGGCAGATTGAGTTGTTTAGCAAAAAATCACAATTTTATAATAACTTGCAAAATATAATAAGTCGGGAAGCATTTCTACAACTAATTAGATGTAGGTTAGTTGAAACCGATCTCGTGACTCCAGACACTCATCAGTGAGATGTATCTGCAACCTGGAAGGAACAGACATTTTCGTAACAGATTTGGAGCAATGATATTCATTATTTCAGTCAGAAGCGTTGCCACTAAGCTAGTGCGGCAAAGACTGTTGTCCTGTAAAACTGATTATAAAGCCTACAAACTCATTTAAAGATAAGCTTTTTTGGCTCTAAGATCAAATTAAACAAAATAATCTAATCTATCAAATTCCATACATTGACTTTGAGGTTGAATACATAGGTTAACCTAGCCGACTGGGGTCAGTTTGGTTAGCGAAACATAGAAATTTTTCCGAATATAGAATGACAGACTCCAGTAGGATCAATAATCCGCTATTGCAATGAATCCATTGACACACAATCATTCAGTAGAGTGAGGGAAAAACCATTTTAATTATGTCTAACATAGTTAGTAAGAGAAAGAGATTGATTTCTGAATCTTTCTTCACTGAATCAACACAGCATGGAATAGGAATGATGCAGCATCTATACCAGAGATATGGAAAGTTTCACTACCATTTACAACAAAGTATATGAGGTAGTAGGACTATAAAAATAAGATGTCGAAAGTTGTTTGATTACATTGATATAGTTATGAGCAATAAATGATATACTAAATGTCATCAAGTAAACAATACTCTGCGCTGTATACCAAATAAACAAATGTAATATGAAGTCAATGACATTGCTTAAAATAAATGAGGATGGTAATAGATTGTAGTTTATTAGACACCAGTCGAATCATTCCTTGCTATGAACCGTTTATACAGTCTGAATTAGGAAAACGAGGTTTTTACAGAATTTAATGTTGCATTTTCGAATGAATATTTCAGGCACATATATATATATATCCAGTCAACGTTTAGTTCTTTAAACAACCAAAAATATGTAATGGTAATTAAGTGTGATATTTCAGTGTTACGTTGAACTTCATTTATAGACTTACCAAGATCTTTATGGCCATAATCCAACTAAAAATGCATGAAAATCAGTTAACATTTCAAAATATTTTATTACAGAATATTACATAACATTATATGGTAAACCTGAGAAATAATACAGGAAAATTTAAGTAACTAGGTTCAAATATATATTCTTTTGAACTCTGGACGCTTTGCAGTTACATCACAAGTTGATTTATAACATTACTTGAAAGAACTTTCGGCTGAATCTACTTATATGGGAAGGACGGTTTGCTTACATGTTGAGTGTTATTCATTCATAGATATACGCTATTGTAATGTATGCACAGCCACTTTAATCCTCAGTAATATCATACTGACTACATAGACTTGTTAATTTTAATTAAATGTATACCTGGAAACACTCTTTGTATTACGGAAGTCTTATCCACGTCAAAAAGAATTCAAGTATGTTATGAAATGACAAAAAAGAGTTAACTTCTTTAAGGTTTTGAAAGATATGTAATCATTCATTGAGAAACATGATTTCAATACTTTATTCTATGGCGAAAGAAAAGTCATCTCAGTAAAATAATGTTTCGAAATTATTCACATACAGGAAAATTAGAACACAGTGAATTTGATAATTATGGAACTTGTATTGAAGTATTTCTTGTCGAAAGTTGTTAATACTACTCATGAGTAAACATAGGTAATTCATCACAATATCATTATTGAGAGAAAGAAGATGTATTGAAGAAATCAAAGCATATAGTACATAAGATATAAATGAAACAAAACACATTTAGTACTGAGCTGTAGGCTAAATTGGTTTCAGCTTTCATCTTGCTAGAAAAAAACATTTTAATGAACTTAAAACAAAGCTAAAGAGAATTTTAAGTGGTTTCTATATTATTTAGCTGTCCTATACTTTATTTGTTCACACACGTGGGAAGTAGGAAAACACGCGTTCATCATACTAACAAGATTTCTAAAAAATGGAAGCAACAAATATGGTTAAATAACTTTAAAAGAAACCGTTATCTAGGATTCGAGTTAAAACCTTAGAAGTTTCCATTCAAGTAATTTCATCACTCATATCATGAGATTACGCAAGAAACATGAATAATAAGTCGAATAGAGACCTAATTTGACCTCAAAAAAACTGTTGAAACAATATCAGATAGTAGCTTAAAAAGATATTATAACTTCAGTAGATTTCAATGTCAAAAGTTACCTTTGGTTGTTCTGTAGCCGTCACAAAACCTGAATAAAGTTAAACATAAATTATTACCAAATATGTCAGCCTTACGTAATGCAAAAATTGATATCAGAAGGCAACTTATCATTCTGTTTTCTGTGTAAGATCTACTCAGTTTAACTAACAAAGCAGTGAGATAATAAAACTAGTATGACCTTTATATTTCATAAGTTTTATTGAAAAAAATTAATTATTTTCTCATCCTCAACAATCAGATCTTATGAGAGAATAAAGTTCACTTGAATTTTTTGTCGTAAAATCATTCGATTTGTTTATTTGTTCTCGTTTTTACTGGTTTTCAGTAATACTAATTATCATCGTAACTATAGTTCTTTTAATCTTATTCAGGTATAATCTATGTAATTGGCAGATTGCTATATCAGCTGAACGATATACCCTTAGAAAGAGAAAAAAAAATCATACCCTTTTAAATGTAATCACCTTTGTGAAGTATTGCCATTTATACTAGAAAAAAAAACACTCAATGTAAACAAATTCGATAATGGTTGAATGATTGTAAAGTTCACTTTTAAAGAATCTGAGTATTATTATTATTATTTGAAGATTACCGAAGAAAAAAATATTTTTATTCATTAGTCCAATAGCATCAGATCTAACAAATTTATTCTGAAGACACAATGAATGAAAACATCATATCAGTGTATAAATTGACTCATTAACATCATGCATCTCGAATAGCTCTACCAGAACTTGATGTGAAGTTTAAGTTGAATGTTTATTTGTATGAGAATTTCACTTATTTTTATCCAATGATTCATAATTATTGTGCTGTCTCCTGAAGGTATCCTAAATGTTGGCTTGGTCAGTTTTATTTGTAGTAAGGGAGTAGTAGATTTGACAGCTAAGAACAATATTACATGAGCTTATTAAATACTGAAATGAAGGGTGATAGTGAAAAAAGAAAATTAAATGAAGCATACAGTGATCAGCTGTACTTCACATAACATGTCTAGTTTCGAACATGCAACTAATGAGTTAAAAGCATTGGAAATTTTAAAAAAGCATACACAAGTAAAAACTACTTTGAAGTAACAGCCATGTCTGACGTTGAACAAATGATTGGTTTAAATTGATATGGTAATCATCATATTTCCCTCTTTCCAAGGCTATGAAGACTGATTTACAGTCGACATAGAACTACCTTCGCTGATAATCCAGCATATTATCTACTGTCATCATACCCCTGAAAGCTTAAGGATCTAGGGTCCACAAGTACTAAGCAGCCTGAGTGCTTGTTATCTGCTGGATAATTGCAAAAATATGAACCATTCTATATCATTTAAATAATTCATGCATGGAAAACTTTAAAATTATTGTGAAATATCGAACCTATTGCCATCAAAAAGTTAAATACTAATTTATACATTCAGAGAAGCATAGATGTCAGTCTAATACCGCCATGTTGAGCACATCTTAACTAAGAATTTATCCAGGGTTTCATTTCATTAGCCTCTTATTTTCTATTCTGTTCTTTTGTTATCTGAACATTGTTCAACTGGCTCTTGTAGCTACTGTGAATTCATCAATTTCTTTAATTTACCTAATCTGAGGTGTATATTCCACATTTGTGAAGAAAGTTTTTACTGAGCGAACCATTAGGCATCCTAACAAACGTATCGCTGAGTTCATATAGTCATGGCTAAGAAGGAGACAAGTGAAGTCAATGTGGAGATCAAATCTGTCACATTTGGCCGACTTTGGTAGTGTAACAGATAAGACTAAAGCTTTCGAAATCAGCCATGTCATCGAATACAATCTTTCAAAAAATGTAATTCGTACTTGCATATTACATATAGCTGAAGCTGTGGTAACTAGAGAAAAAACCTAGTTTTTGCGTGCAGGAAAAGGTTTCTTTTTCTAAGTTTTGATCTACATTGATTGTCTAAATGTCTGCAGTACCACTGTTATTATTATTTTTCCCTTAGGTTCGTAGTGAAACATAGGGCTTCAGTAGCACACCTCCATCCCACCCTCTTCTCTGCAGTCTTTCGAACCTGGTGCCATCACTGCTCACAAACTTTCTTTTCTTCATCACATCATCTCCTCCGTTCCACCCTCAGATGGGATGCTCAACTTGTCGTTTCCCCTCTGAATTCCATTTGATGGCCTGGCATGACCTGAGGTGTGGTGTCCCCAATTCGCCTTCTTAGTGTATGCAGGCAAAACTAGCAAGTCGACAAAAGAGGTGGCGAAAACGGGACTTCAAGCAAATATAGAGAAAAGAGAGGTGATGAAGATACCCAACCAACAACAACAGCAGCCACGACAAGCATCAATCACCATCAACAAGAGAAACTCAAAGGAAGTTGTCGCTTTCACCCACACCTACTTAGATAGCATCGTTTCAACTCCAGGCGGCGCAGACAACGATGTCAAAACCAGGATTGGAAAGATAGCAAGACAGGCTTTCATCAATCTGAAATCAGTGTGGAGATCTATTGGAATTAACATAAAGTGTGAACAAGATCCGGATTTTCAACATCAATGTCAAGTCACTGCTGCTATGCGGTTCAGAAACTTGACGCGTCATGAAAAGCATTTCCAACAAACTGCTCTGACCCCATATTCAAGATCAGATGGATGGCCAGAATAGTGAGAATAAGCAAGAAGGAAGTGTGGCTGGCTGGCATTGAACCAACCAAGAACCCATCACCCAACAAATTGGAGATGGATTGGATTGGGCATACACTGAGAAGGCCGATTGGGTACACCACACCTCAGGTCATGCCAGGCCATCAAGTGGAATTCAGAGGGGAAACGATGAGCTGAGCATCCCATCTGAGGGTGGAATGGAGGAGATGATGTGATGAAGAAAAGAAAGTTTGTGGGTAGTGGTGGCGCCAGGTTGAAAAGACTGTAGAGAAGGGGGTGGAATTGAGGTGTGCTACTGAGGCCCTATGTTTCACTAGGAACCCAATGGAAAAATAGTGATAACAATAGAACTTATTCCTGCCCGGTTTTATGAAGGTGCGATGGAATGCATCATAAATTCCATGGTTGAACATTTAATCGATTCTAACCATTCAGCCAACCCAAATAATAATTTTAAGATTTTTTATCAAATCCGGTCAAACATCTCACGTTTCCTTTATTTCCTAGTTCATTTTTATTTTAACATTTATAATTGTTTCCGGTGTTAATTCATTCAAACTTCTTTATATTAACTCTTAACAAAACATTTTTAATTTATTCCAGTTAACTTGTCTCACTCGTATTACCTAATCCTTTGACTGTTCATTAACTGTACCACGTTTTCACCCACTTTTAATCTATATGGACCCTATAAATGATTTAGGAGTTTTACGTCATTCCTTTTGTTATCATTACGTCATCAAGTTGCAACATTATTATTAGCATAAAACCCAATCGGGATTGGTTGAAAACTGTATCGTTCTCTTATATATCTTCTGTTTCATACTTCTGGTAAATTGTTCTTTCAATTTACTCCTAAATGTTTCAGCTAATCAACGTATAACTATAATGTTTGACTGTTTCACTTCCTTCACCTGGCTCATCTTATTACTAATCGATACCATCTCCTGTTTCCATTAGTTATTCCTTGTCAACTTGATTAAATTATATGAAGTTTATTAGTTACGCTGTGTTCTCTGAGCTAGGTGGTTTTATTGTAAAACTGTCATTGTTTTTCTCAACATCACCAGTACTTCATACTGAAGTTGATGGTGATTATATTTTCAAGAAAGGCAACGAAAGCCTCACAATTAAGCAACCTAGCTGAGAGAACACAAAACAACAAAAATCATTCACATGAGTTACAAATATTCTCCCCCGTTACAAAATCATACCAGCGTAACATGCTTCACGTCGTTTGAATACGGAGAGGTTTCACTAAGAGGGAAGCTTCCATAAGAGAACAATTATTTCTTCTCCATGAGTGCCTACGTTACCATGCTCTAATGAGAAGAGTATGTAAATCTTCATTGTACTTCTGACATACGTCTGGGTGGAATCCACTAAATCAGATTGATTTCACGCTGTTCCGCTTCATTTTCTTTCCTTTCTGCTTTTAGGTTTGTTTCACGATCGTCATGGCTCTACTTTACAGTTCTTAAACGTGTACATACTTTCATTTTTATTCGAGGTGTTTCACACAGCAGTGTTATGCAAATACTGGAATATTCAATATGAAGGACGGCCAACTAGAACCGTTTAACCTAATTTTAAGGCAGTATTTATCACGGACTGACATCAGCTGAGGACCACTGAAAACTCGGGAAGGTTAGACGGCTGATCCTTCCCAGCATGGGATTCCTCGGCTGTACGCACCCCTGACTTGGCTAGGGATCGAACTCAGGACCCTCAGACTAAACTTAACACCTAATGGTTTCACTGTGACTTATCAAAATGTTCTGAATTCTGTCAGAAATGCTTAACATTTCTTATTTTTGATGACTGTGAAGTAATCTATACTTTAAAGGCCTAGATATTAAGTTAAATTTGTACGAGTGACAAATTTATTAAGACGTGAAAATCTCTGTGACTAACAGCAACTGAAGTATGCAATCATTCAAAGTGAAATGTCAAACTTTAACTTTGTTTTTGAGTAAAAAAATGTTTCTAACATTTATGAGGTATGTGAAAGACTGAAATTCTTCGTTTTTACTTCCCACTTTTGATTCACGTATTTCTTAAGTTTATTAACAGTAATTGAAATTAATATTGTATAACTTTATTAAATTACAATTTCTATATATAGTATATACCTTTTAAATCTACTTGCAGACGTAGCAAATGTGTGTCAGAATAAGTAATCCATTTTTTTATTGACTGGATAAATTTCTTTTCTAGATTCGAAAATACTACCTACTAATTTTTAAAGGATATTTTGCATGAAATAGTAAACTGTACAATTGACTGATTATCCTCTCAGTTGGATAATATTTTTTAAGGTTACGAAGGGAGAGGTATTTTTCTGTAGTTGGATCAAAATTCAGCCACGTAACAACCAGGTTTTCATTTGTAGGAGTCACTGGTGCATTTCACCTTATTCGGTGATGGAATTCAGTGAAATTTCCTAAATATAAACTAACAAAGATGAGTGACTACAAAGCGAAGATCTTATTGAAGTGTAACTGAGACATAGTTAAAGTCTGACATCCACCTTCTGGCAAACAGAACAAATTTCTATTGTTGCAGTACATTAACCAATAACATAGAGGTTGGTTCTCATTAGGAACACAGAAACTAGGATTCAGGTTAGTAGGTTTGGGAAATTTGCTGTCAGAAACAATAAATTGTTTAAATAGTACGTTTTTGACATAAGATTCAGATTAAATAAGAAAAATTCGGAACAATTACGCAATTGCTAGGAAGATAATATTTGGTACTGGGCTGTAACTGCAAGTGAAATGAAAATCCGGGTGACAGCAAGACTAGAGGCAGTCGCCTCAAGG